TGGAGTGGAATAAAATGGAATAGAATAGAATAGAACAGAATTCTTTATGGGCCAAGTGGGATTGGACACACAAGGAATTTGTCTTTGGTGCAGATGCTCTCAGTAGACATGAAAAGACAAGATACATTTGTCAAGAATTATCAGGTACTAACACTTAATGATAGTCATAGGGTACAAATAAGGAATCAAATCATACTAGAAAACAACATCAGTCGTAAGGATACAAGCAACAAAGTTAGTCATAAGTGGGAGGAGGAGATGGGGGATAGGAACGACTAGAAGACTAATAGTAATGCAGACTTGGTAAATAGATTGACAGAGTTGAGGGGATTATTTGTTTAGCAGAGGGATGGCATTCGGGAAAAACTCTCCTTGTGTCTAGTTCTCTTAGTGTGCAGGGCCCTATAACGTCCTTTTGAGGATAGGAGTTGAAACAATTGATGTCCAGGATGTGAGGGACTTGTAGATATTTTCACAGCCCTCTTTTTGACTCCTGCAGTGTTACAGGTCCTCAGTGGAAGGCAGGTTGGTAGCCAATGTTTCTTCTGCAGTTCTGATTCTCCTCTGAAGTCTGTGTCTGCCTTGTTGGGTTGCAGAGCCAAGCCAGACGGTTATGGAGGTGCCCCCAAAGGTGCTTTTTCGAAAGGCAACTGGACTTTTCCTTGAAGATGCTTCGCTTCTCGTCCAAGAAGCTTCTTCAGGTCTTGCTGGATGAGAAGAAGCGCAACTTCTTCAAGGAAGAGCGAAGCGAGTCCGTTTTCCTCTTGGAAAAAGCCCCTCTGGGGACATCAGGAGATCTTAGGCTGCCTAAGAAGGGGATTAAATGGATTAAAACATAAGGTTTGAGGGGTGGGGGAGGGGAGGCCTGGAAGTGGGCGAACGTTTTGCTCTCCTCTTCCTCTTGCTTCCCTGGGCAGGTCAACCTGATGAAGGAGAACAACCCCCGTTGGAAGCCCACCTTCATCGTGAAGCCCGACGGGGGCTGCCAGGGGGACGGGATCTACCTGGTGAAGGAGCCCGCGGAGATCCGGCTGATGGGCAACCTGCAGAGCCGTCCGGCCGTGGTCCAGGAGTACATGGCCAAGCCCTTCTTGATCGACAAGCTGAAGTTTGACATCCGCCTGTACGTCCTGCTGAAGTCCCTGGATCCCCTGGAGGTCCACGTGGCCAAGGACGGGCTGTGCCGCTTCTGCACGGAGCCCTACCAGGAGCCGGCCCTGAACAACCTCCACCAGGTCTACATGCACTTGACCAACTATTCCCTCAACATCCACAGCGGGAATTTTGTCCACTCGGACAGCGGTAACACCGGCAGCAAACGGACGTTTTCCAGCATCCTGGCCAAGCTGGCTTACAGTGGCGTCAACATCCGGAAAGTTTGGTCCGATATAATTTCCTTGGTCATCAAGACCGTCATCGCCATCGTGCCTGAGCTGAAGGTCTTCCACCAGTCCGATATCCCCGCGGGAAAACCGGGGCCTTCCTGCTTCCAGGTGAGCCTCCAAGCGAGGCCTTGCGAACCGAACCGGTCGTCCATCCCACACCCACCAGTCCATCCCATGGTCCAATCTCTCACTGCCACGCTGGCAGGTTCCACCCATCCAGTTCCGGAGAGGTGCAGAGACAAAGGATGACCTTGGCTTTCTAGAAAGAATGTTGTTATGGCTGCGTAGCATCTAACTCCGTACAATCCACCCTCCCATTTTCCCACCATAGAAAATGCATAGTAGAATAAATAGAAAGTGACACTAGCCTTGATTGGGAGGATTCTGGGGGCATGGAGAGGTTTACTACACTCCCCCTCCTCCTAATTCTTGGCTGCCACACCATGCCCCAGTGCCCAGGTCTTTGGGGGGAACCCTCCCACAGGACCCTTTGTCTTCTGGGAGTCAAGCTGAGCAAAAGGCCAGGGATTTGGGATGGTCCTTTCCACCCTCACAGGTCCCTTCCGGGTGTTACACTCTTGGGAGTCCGAAAGGGAGCTTGGAAATGGTTTCACTCTGTTCTTTGGTTTCTGGGAAAGACCGGTGCCTCCCTCTCTCTCTCCTCTCCCCAAGATTTTAGGATTTGACATCCTGTTGATGAAGAACCTGAAGCCCATTTTGCTGGAGGTCAACGCCAACCCAAGTATGAAGATCGAACACGAACAAGAGGTGGGCATCAGGTCCGGCCACCCTCCAGCCTCTTTCTCCTCCTGGGAAGATAGGAGTGGACCTCCAGGCCTCCCAGCTGAGCCCCACGTCTGCTAGCTGCCCCCTCCCTCAAATTGCCCTGGAGAAGAACAGTAACTCACACTCAGAGGGTTAATATTGTGGTTGTTTGTTATTAATTGTGTAAAACAATATATTCCCCTTCCTCAGCTGTTCCACCCCCCCTCCCCAAAGCCCCAGCCCTGCTTCTGACAATGCCACTCAGGTGAAACATCTGGAGAAGTTGTCACCCTCCTGGCTCCTTTGAGGGCGGAGCCGGGCGTGGGAATTACGGCTTCACTTAATATTGCGTGTATTATATGAATCAGTATTCATCTAAGGGGGACGTTATGTGCATATGTGTTGTTGTTTTTTCTATTTTCTTTTTAAGGCACTTTTTTTCTTTTTTAAATATATTTTTATTATTTTCATATAAATATATTGAACACAGTGTGATTGTCTTGGCATTTAACTTGCCATATAAAAAACAAAGTGGAAAAGTTTCAGTTCAGTTTAATAAATGTATATGCCCCCCCCCCCCAATCCCGAAGGACTCCGGGCGGCTTACATAAAAGACAATTTAAGAAGTGCTAAAAGTTTAAAAGGTAGAAGACAAAGCAGGTTAAAAACACAACACATACTCAACCGTAGTGGGGCTGGACCTTATTCAAGAGGTTTGAAGGTTTATTGCATTTATATGCCGCCCTATTTCCTGGGGGACTCAGGGCGGCTAACAAACCCAAGGAGGGGTGGAGGTTAAAACAAGAGGGTAATACAACAAACAAAATACAAAGAGAGTTTAAAAAGACAATCAACAGTCACACAATTCGAGCAGGGAAGGGAACTCATCAACCCCAGGCCTGCCGGCATAGCCAGGTTTTAACAGCTTTACAGAAAGCCTGGAGGGAGGTGAGGGTCCAAATCTCCGTGGGGAGCTCGTTCCAAAGGGCCGGAGCAGTCACAGAGAAGGCCCTCCTCCGGGTAGTAGCCAGGTGACATTGGCCAG